CCCGGTGGGAGCGCTGAGCCGTGGGGCCGGCAGCCTCCTCCCGCCTGCAGCGCCTCTCTGCCCCCACAGCTTGTCCTTTGCTCTCCGGTGGTTCCTGCCTTCAACTTCATGGGCCTGGCCCCGTCGTTCCCTTCCTTCCGTTGGCTCTGAGCTGAGACGAGGCTCCGTGGTGACGAGCTCTCATCTTCTCCCAGCGGCACTGCACGTGCACCCAGGTCCGGAGCCTCCCACCTCTACCCTCATCCGGTGCAGCACCCCGCCCCCCACATCCCGAGAGCAGCTGTTCTGTCAGGTTCTCACAGCTGTGCCTGGTGTCCCGCTGGCCCTGTGGTCAGAGCAGGATGATGGGCCGTGACCCTCCTGTCATACGGCCCCATGGTGCAGGCTACAGGGCAGGACGTCCGTGGCTCGTGCAGCGGTGCCTGGCCCCCGCCTCCTGACAGCGAGCAGCGTCCCAGGTTTGGAGGAGGCGTGGTCTCCAGCAGAGGCCGAGCCTGTTTATGTCTCCTCTCAGTGCCACCAGCTTTATTCAAACTCGTCTTGCGGGGGCACGACAGGGCGTCAGGCGCAGTGCAGAGCCGAGGGCCGGCTCCATCCTGAGAACGGACGACTCAGATCCGGTAAACCCTCCTCACAGGGTCTGCAGCCAACAGCCCAGGTGGCGCCCAGGAGTCCCCTCCACACTCGCTGTCCTGAGCCAGGGTCACAGAGCTGCGCGCCCAGAGACACTGCAACCTCAACTCCAGGAAACTTCAAAGAACAAACTGCCCAGAAAACGAAAACCTCCAGGATCAACAAGACGGCAGCAGCTGGGCCAGCGTGGCTCAGTGGTCGAGTGTCGACCCCGGAACCAAGAGGTTGTGGGCTCGATCCGCAGTGGGGGGTGTGCAGGAGGCAGCCCATGGGTGATTCCCTCCCATCACTGACGTTTCTCTCTCTCTCGCTCCCTCTAAAAATCAATAACAGCATCTTTTTAAAAAAGAAATCCTATAACCTTTACCTGAAAAAAAAGAAAAAGAAAAAAAAAGAGCAGCAGAAGGGCCCACATGATGTGGGATGGATGTCGGCCCTGCAGACGCCGCAGCAGGAGCGGGAGGCGGGGCAGGGGAGCCGGGGGGCAGCAGACAGCAGGGAGCCTCGTGCTGAGGGACCTCGGCTTCCCACGAAGGCTCACGGGCACCGAGGAGGCCCCACTCAGGGGGGAGACGCTGGATCAGCCGAGCCAGCCTCCCCAGGAGACATCACTTCCCACCTGGAGCTCCACCCCCCACCTGCTGAGGGAGGAGACTGATACCCACCCGTGTCTGCAGGCACCAAGGGGCCAGGGACCCGGGTCCCAGGGCGTCGAGTCAGCTCTGGGAGGTTCGAGCCACAGGCAGGCATGACACTGGGGACCGACGTGGAGACCCAGCACCTGTGCGGCAGCTTGGTCCCCAAGCCCCGGCCACAGGGCAGGCGGCTGCTCCGAGGGTCACTGTGCCCTGGGCCTTGGGGACGGAGGGGCAGGCCCATCTGGGCACTGAGCCTGGCAGAGGACCGGGCACCGCACACCCCGACACGCCCTGCACCTCACCTTGGAGGCTGGAGCTGAGGTCCCCGAGGTCTGCAAACGGGTCCAGGTTCTGAGACTTGGCCCGGCTGGCCGGGGGGCCGGGAGGGGCTGGCTGGCCACCAGGAGAGAAGAAGGGGCCTGGAGAAGGACAGAGGACGTGAAAACAAGCGCCATCGCAGGGAGACGCAGCCCAGCTCTCTGCCGAGGGTCCCGCCGGCCTCACGCAGCTCCGAGGCTCAGGCGCCAGACACGGGCACGCACGAGAGCAGGGCTGCTTCCGCTGCCCCACAGAAGACCCCCTGGTGCATAAAGACCTAAACGTCTGTGTCCTCCTGACTTGGTGCTGCTGCTTCCTGGACCCTCCCCACCCCATCTGAATGTGCTTTGTGATATATATTTTAGCTTTTACTGTTGATACTATGACGGCTGCCCCCCCTTCTCCCTCTGCCCCCCCTCCCCCTGGCCATCACCACACTGCTGTGTCTATGAGCTATGCACGTATGTTTGGCTAATCCCTGCATCTTCTGTCACCCAGCCCCTCCCCCTCCCCATCAGTCTGTTCCATGGTTCCAGGCCCCTGGTTCTATTCTGTTTATTGTGTTCATTAGATTCCACAGGAGTGAGATCATGTGATACTTGTCTTTCTCCGACTGACTTATTTCATTTAGCACAAACTCTCCCGGTCCCTCTGTGCTGTCGCAAAGGGTAAGAGGTCCTTCTTTTTTACTGCTGCACAGTGTTCCCTGGTGTAGATGTTCCACAGCTTTAACCTATTCACTAGAGGCCTGATGCACAAAATTTGTGCAAGAGTAGGCCTTCCTTCCCCCAACTGCTGGCACCGGCTTCCCTCTGGCTCCTGGGACCCAGGCTTCCCTCTCAGCACCCCCTTTGCCCGGAAGGTTGTCTGGTCTAATTAGCATATTATGCTTTTATTATTATAGATCTGCTGATGGGCACTCGGGCTGTTTCCAGATCTTAGCTATTGTAAGTTGTGCTGCTATGGACATAGGGGTGCATATGTCCTTTCTGATTGGTGTTTCTGGTTTCTTGGGATATATTCCTGGAAGTGGGATCACTGGGTCAAATGGCAGCTCCATATTTAATTTTTTGAGGAAACGCCACACTGTTCTCCACAGCGGCTGCACCATCTGCATTCCCCCCAGCAGAGCCCAAGGGCTCCCTTTTCTCCGCATCCTCGCCAGCACTTGTCATGTGCTGGTGGTAGCCATCTGACAGGTGTGAGGTGATACATTGTTGTTTTAATGTGCGTCTCTCGGATGCTCAGGGACTTTGAGCCTTTTTTCATGTCTCTTGGCCGTCTGTATGTCCTCTTTGGAGAAGTGTCTTTTAGGTCCTTTGCCCACTTTTAATTGGACTGTCCTCCTGGTGTTGAGCTGTGTGAGTTCTTTTTGTATTTTTTAAGTTAACCCTCACCAGATGCATCCCTGTCGAACACAGTCTCCCACCCAGTAGGCTGCCTTTTCACTCTGATGTATGACATTCCTTATAACAGTGTCAGTTTGAGACGATTCTAAGTATCAGAAACTGAAGTATCTGAGTAAACTGTTGTACAGCCACTTGGAGGAACATAATCATTACAAATGCTGGCTCCTACAGTAAGGGGCTCTTAGAAGTTCATAGGCAGGAGAATTTCCTATGCAAAAAGGAACGTAAAACAGTTCTCAAAAAAACCAAGGACATAAAGTAACAGTTAACCTCACGTGCAGATTGGGATGCAAATGGAAATAGCGGGCGGTCTACCAAAGTGGTCTTTAGTCATCGTCCAGCTTTGGTGAGACTGGAGGCTGGGGGGCTCCTGGGCAAGCCAGTCACCAGGAGGTCCGGAGGGGACGCTGCCAGAGGCCTCGTCACCTCCGACAGCCCTGCACAAGCCAGTTTCCCAACAGGACAGAATCACAGACGGAGGAAAGGACAGATGTCCAGCCAGTGCAGGTGGGACCCCCTCGGTGTCCTGGGCAGGCGCCCCGAGGCACAGCAGCCGCAGGACACAGCCACCACTCAGAGACGCTGCGGTGAGAGGGCTGCCCATGGGCCGTGTCCTACACACTACGCGCCCACAGGAGACGAGGAAGGGAGCAGGTGGAGGGTGCCTGTGCACGCCTGCAGGAGTGGGCAGGGAGGAGGGCAGGGCGCCCTGGGACAGCCCTGGACCTGCTGACCAGGGTGTGGCCCGTGCCACCAGGACCCCTGTCCCTGGGAGGGCATGGTTGCGTCTTGGCGACATGGAGGGGGGGCAGGGCCGTACCTTCTGTGGCTGGAGCGGGGGCCGGGGCCTCGGCCCAGGAGTCCCATCCTCCCAGCAGGTCCGGGTGGCTGGCCGAGGTGGACATCCTGCTGGGCTCGGCTGGCACGTCCCCTGGGAGAGAGCAGCACCATGTGTGGGGCCCCAGTGGGGGTGGACCGTGGCCTTCAAATGGCTCCTACCCACCGTCCCCACACACACCCACACACAGACACCTGCCACGTGGGAGCAGGAGGGACAGAGGACGGCTGGCCGGTGCACCTGGCCGAGTCCCAGTGGGCCCTGCCGGCTCAGCCGGCACTGACCAGCCTCCCCTCCTCACAGGCTGTGGATGCCTCATGCCACTGAAGGGACCAAGGGGACGGGTGAGCGGGTGGAAAAGCTCCCAGGACAACGCGCCACGCCCCCTCCCGCAGAGGCTCACACACGTCACTCACGGTGCACAGGGCGCCCCCAGGACCTTCGCCCACCCTCCCCGGAACCTAGCAGAGCACGAGGGTGGACACCAGCGGCCACCTCATCCTCCGGGGAGGGAGGCCCTGCAGCCCCGCAGCTACTCACCCAGCTGCAGGAAGTCGGTGCCGCAGGCCGGGGGCGGGGCGCTGTGGGTGGAGGGGAAGGACGCAGGCTGAGCGGCCAGAGAGTCTGAATTAAGAAATTCCCCCAAGAGACTGGGCTGGGAGCAGGGCTGGGCATCCAGATCGGACGTCAGCAGGAGGGGGTCGAACGGGTCGGCTGCAGAGACACCCAGGAGCGGGCACAGTGAGGCGTGTGGAGGCACCACAGGAGCACCCAGCCCAGAGCGCCAGGCCCCCGGCTGCGCGGCCTGGACGATGACCACCCCGCGGGCCCAGGAGGACACGGAGGGACTGAGAGCTGGCCACATCGTCAGCCCCGACGCCCTCGCCTCAGACAAGCAGCTGAGAGGACGTGAGCTCAGGATGGATGGAGGGGTGGGAGGACCCCGCAGTACGGCCGCCTCCTGCTTCCCCTCTTGGCTGCGGCCCCGCCCGCCCATCCTCAGCTCCTCCCAGGCCCTGGCGGCTCACAGACCTGGAGGCCAAACCACTGGAACCCTCTCAGCTCACATACCGGCTGCGGGGGGCCCACCCGTGGTGGGGGCGGGGCTCGTGAAGAGCAGGGGGGTCTCCCCACCGAGGA